CCCCGCGAGTCCTGTGCTAACTCCGTGCTGAAAAGACGCGTGGGGGGGAGTAGGTGCAATGGCTAAGTGGTAAAGTTGCTCTACGAGGGGGTAAAAAAGTAAGAAACCCTCCCCACCACAACCTCATCCCTCCCCTCAATCCATATGGTAAAATTTCTTTCTCTGCGCTCTGTTTTCTTTGTTCTTTGTGGATTGTGGTGTTGGCTGCTATGACAAATACTGCACATACAGCAGGTTTTAAGTTCTTAGCCAACTTCTCTGAGTACGGCAACTTTGGCAACACTTCTTTTGCCAGGGTTTTGTTAGGGTTAGGGTTAGGTCATTGATTACTTGTAGGTGATAGGGAAAAAAAAGGTTTTGGAGAGACCTTCCCCAGTAAGATGGCACCTTTTCTTTCTCTAAAGCTTTCATCCTCTAGACAATACAGAGAGTCAGTCCTTCAAGGGCTTAACAGCATTTGGCTGAGATGTAACATTTTCCAGGTTTTCAGATCCACAAATATTAAGCACAACACAAATATATAACAGAGAGCATATTTGCATTATTACATTACTGTGGTCACTGGCAATTTTTCTATGTTTCTAGTGATGTTTGTCACAGATACTGCACTGCAAAATGCGACTATTTTTACTAGAAAAAATGCAGCAGCTTAAGGGGTGTGACCAGAAGTTGTTCAAGCTCTATGGCATGGTTTTTATAGAGGTGACACCACTGAAGCTCAAAAATGAAGGAACAGCAGCATTTGGCCTTTAGTTTCAAAGGAGAAAAATAAATTAATTTCAAAATTGTAAATTTTCATGAAATGCCCTGGTGGTTCGCGACTATTTTTACTAGAAAAAATGCAGCAGCTTAAGGGGTGTGACCAGAAGTTGTTCAAGCTCTATGGCATGGTTTTTATAGAGGTGACACCACTGAAGCTCAAAAATGAAGGAACAGCAGCATTTGGCCTTTAGTTTCAAAGGAGAAAAATAAATTAATTTCAAAATTGTAAATTTTCATGAAATGCCCTGGTGGTTCGGTTCATGAAGGGAGCAGCAGAGCCTACTACTCAGAGGTTGTATCTGTGCTGGAGTAGTTACAATGCACAGCATGAGCTAAATGATTGTTAGTACACAGATGTATTCACACAGTTCCCATGTCAAAGTCTAACTGTATCTTCCAGTCTGGTTTAAACCAGATTAGCAACCAGAATGTGTCTTCCTCCCAGCCCCACTAAAAAAAACATTTACTGCATTGACCTTTCTGGTAGCCTTTCTTGCTTCTCACTCCCCTAAAATCCAGAAAGCTGCCGGAGTAGTCATTTATTAGACTTTTTCCCCTGGCATGTCGATTGTCCTGTTTTCTCTGAGTATGCAAGGCTGAATTCCAGGAGGACTCACTGAGTTAAAACACGCATGCCTCAGAGCACTAAAAATTAGAATAGGATGAAAAGTATTTCTAACTTAATTTGTGAGATTAGCAGACATGACTCTTGGACAAAAAGCTGGTGACTGACTCCAAGAGTGATAAGACTAAGAAGTAAATATCTTTGCACCCCCCCCAAAGATCAGTGCATATTCTGTGTTTGAGGAAAAAAATTGTGAAAGAGTTGAAATGGGGCTTGCAGTACCTTTGTCGCTGCCCAGCACTGTGTAAGTTTCCTGAGCTGGAAGAAACTTTGTATCTCAAGAAGAAAAACTTAGCTTAGGACATTATGAAAGATCTCAGTGATGTGCCTGGTACAGACTTGGCTGTTGCCAAAACATATAGAGTGGTAATAATTAAGTGTGTACTCATTCTAAAAGTAACGGTAAATAATTCTCTCGGGCCTGTGATATGTATTAACATGACATGTACAATTATAGTGGGAATGTATGTGTTTTGGGGAAAAAAGGGTAGGCCTTTCTCTTTTCCCTTTTTTTTTTTTGAGATCACTGTGAAAGAGTATCTGGTTATATTAAGGAGGCCTTTCCCTTTACTTCCTAGAGTAGCTTAAGTGGAAGTATTCAGAGTTGCAGATAAGAGAAGAGGTATTTTTAGAAATAAAAAAAGTCATAAAAGTATTTTATAGCAGGCTTTTCCATTTCATGACTGTGAGTCTTGCCTCTGTGTGCTCTTGAGTCTGAACAAATGCTGTTCAGCATTCACTGGAAAAGTGTCACAAAGATTGAAATATAGTGGGAGAAGTGTTACATGCTGGTGCCTTTTTTTACTGAGGCTGTTCAGCAAAGTATTGTTTCCATTATGTTCCTCATAAAGTGTTCACAATTCCTACATTACTGTGGTGTTAAAGGTGGATATAATTTTTTTACTCAGGTGTTTTAGGTACTTGCAGAGATTGTTCACACCACAGTGATACAGGTCTGTTGCTCCTCATGCTATGTTGTGGTTTTGCATGATTGATTTGTGTTGAATAATGGCTTGCAGATGCCACACCAGCTTTCAGTGCAGCATGGTAATGTTTACAACTGTTAATTATTTTTCTTACAAAAGTTGCAAGTTAGTTTTGCATGTAAAGCTTGCAAGTTTTTGGTTTCATTTTTCTACTTCTCAGTACAAAATGAAACAGGCAAAGATATGCATGTTTGTCCCTCAGTGCTAACTGACTAGTACAAGCATTTGCAGTGTACTGCAAGAGTAATCCTGTCTTTGGTCTGACCATGGGGAATAGTGCCATTGTCATGGTCATGTTTCAAGATAATATCAGTATGTTACATAGCTAGTGTTATAAACTCACACAAGGAGAGAAATAGAGACCTTCACAATCCCTTTGATTTCACAGTTATTAGCAAAGGTTATGTTGAATATGCTAAGTGATGTTACTAGAAGTAACAAAATGTATTTACAGGTCTTTTTAAAACAGATATATTTCTTTGGTCTCTTTCAGAGTATCTGCTGACTAGTGTCAAAGATTTAATTGCTGAGTACTTTTGCTACACCTCAGGCCAGCAGAGTTTCTTCTTGCAAAGGAACAACAGTTGTTTACTTGCAGATTGTTAAATGCAATGGGATTACATGGATATTTTGAAGGTCTAATTGAGTTAGCTACAGCTCAGTACTGTGTGAGAAAGGCCCTAATTTCAGAATTGAGACTGAGCTTGTAGCGCTGGAATAAGAGAAAGGCAAAATCAGCATACTTTTGAAACTTACCTCATTCACTGAGGCATCCTTAAAAGGCTGCCTTGGTTGATCTCTTCTATTAATTTATAAGTGTAAAAAACACTTTCTTGTTGGACTAAAATCATTCTCTTGCTGATTCTGAATTACCTTTTCTTCTCTGCTTGCAAGGCTTGCATGGTGTTGTTGAACAGGCAATGGCATTCCTTTGTTTCTAATACAAATAGTATATTTTTTTATTTCTTTTTTCTTTCCTTCCCCTTTTCAGGTAGCAAAGTCTGGGGGGAAGCAGGAGTAACCTATTCTTTAATGAGTAAACTGTGGAAAACAAAGTTAATAATTATACTGCTGTGGTTACTGTGTTTCTGGCGTAGATCTGTGGGTTACATGTTTCTCTCTAACACATTCCAGTCATTTTAACAATGCCACCCAATATATACGTTTAAAAATACATTCTGGAAGTAGTTGCCTGAAGTACCAGCTCTTACTTCTCTTTTTATAGTTATTGATTAACAGGACACATTTTCTCCAGTCAGAGAATGATCTGTTACTCCACACAGAATGTCTTTTCTAGCTGCCTGTTTTCTGCTGTGAAAGGTAGTTGATATTTGCCAAGTCACTGTGCCAAAATTTGGTGTAGTTATATAAAGTGTGTAGCCTGCCTCTCCCCTGTGACTAGTGGTCTTCATTATCTCAGTTTCAACACTTGGAAAAGGAGGCCAGTTTTAAAGATGTGTGACTTTATAAAAACTGGGCTCTTTATTCTGTCTATATTGGCAATTGCGATAGCAGTTTTTATTACACAAACGAATTTTCACAACAATTCTAACAGACTTTGAAGCTTGAATTGCATTTAGTCTTAATTGTCATTCAAAGAAAAGATCAGTGCTGTCAAATAAAGGAAACCTTCCTTCTGGATGACATGCTGAAACATTTTGCAGCCCTGTCAGTTAGAAAGTTTGACCCTCTTTGCTTACAACTGATAAGGTAATAATTTACTAGAGCTTACTTAATTGAAACAAAATCACTGAAGGGAAGAGGAGGGGAACTTATCTTTTAAAATTGTTTAGCGAGGTGTAGAGACTCATTTCTGGAATCTGTAAGGTTTTTCAGGTCACTTACTTATGCAGGCATGTTTTGTGCTTCACGAAACTTCTGTTGCCATGGCATTAGAACATTCCAACTACGAACAGATTTGCTTTCCAGATCCATCAAACACTCAGCCTCTGCAGTAAGTATTCCTTCAGCCTCTTAGAGAAAACTATTTCATACAATGTCTTTGAGATGCACTAACAGTGTTGCAAATATATATGCATTAGCTGCGTTTTCTTTATTTCTTGTGACATCAATCCAAACATTTACTATCAAGAACAAAATAAGATATTTGAATCAGTCAAATATTAACCACACTAACATGACAGAATTTGGCAATTATTGCTTTTTGTATCTTTGTCAATCATTAAAGTCAGATTTAGCACATATCACACCAGAAGGATTGCCTAGGTATTAGGGAGAAGCTTGATATACAGCAGACATGATCAATCTCTGCTTTGTCACAGGCTTTTGATAAAGCAACTAATCTCTTTGTATCTCAGTTTTCCTTTAATGAAAAGAGAGTAGTGGTGCTTCTTGATGCTGCAATAACAAGGAGTATACAAGTACCTCAAACTTAAGTTTATATAGAATCTTCTCAATTTCCCAGCTTAACTGCTTATAAGGTTGTGTAACTTCTTTTGAAGTCTTCCAGTTTTGTTGAGAGAAAACAGCTTTGCAACACGGCAGGTGGTTGGAGGTCACACTCTGCATTGCATATAGAACACTGGAATGTGAATTGTGTTCCCAGGTCAGAACAGAAGTTAATCTAGTCAGCAAATTGGGTCAACCAAGGCACATGCCACATCCTTCAAAACAGATGTTCAAACCATTATACTGGACAGTTGTAACATATTTTTCCCATATGAGAAGTTTCTTGTAGCATGGAAACCACTTTGGAGGTCAGCTTTTGCCTGAGTCAGTTTTTCACATGCTATATGTAACTCTATTCTATTTAATTAAGTTGGATGTTCTCACTAAATGTGCTGCAATCTAATACTGGTTGGGGTTTTATTTATTTTTAATTTTCTTAAGATCTTGTCTTCAGTTGTAACGTCTGACATTGAATTCTACAATTTATTTATGCACCATGTAAAAGTATTTGCTTCCAACATTATTAAACTTATTGCCATTCAATTTAATTGCAAGTTTCTTTGTATTAGCAGAAAGATAAATACAAGCAGCACCTGACTTTCAGGTGCTTTCCTTGGTAGAAAGTGTTAGGAAAAGTAGGAGGTTGGAGTTAGAGCTTGATGAAAACTTATTTCTGCTTAGCACCAATCTTCAACTCATAGAAATCCTAGCCCTGCACCTAGAAATGGCTTGAAGATTATCAAGTGCTGACATAACTGGGCTAAAAGAAAAAAGAGTCTTAAGATTTCTCATGACCTGGAAGAGAGAATGCTAGTTATGGTTCCCTTTTAAAATCTCAGTTAATTAGTTGGCTTTCTCAAAGTAGTAAGGTGCACCTCAAACCCACTGTAAGCTGAATCTGTGAAAACCAATGGAGGTTCAGCTATTCTGTTTTAAAACTAGTTTCAAGGCACAAGAAAAATATAAATAGGAAGACTTGAATCATTAAGTATTTAAACTTAAGTAATATGGAGCTGTAAGGTGAAGGCTTATTTTAATTGTCAATACATGTTTAGCTAGGGAAGGTTACTCAAGGCAGTTAAGATTTACATTATAGTTAATTATAAAGGCAGTTGATAAGCCTTTAGCTTTTAGCAAATTGAAACAATTTCAAGAAGAGGTAGTCCATGGAACAAATTTACTCATGGCAGTGTACAGAAGTCTTATTATTGACTCAAAAGATTCAAGGTGAAACTTATTCCTTCCAGTATGAGTAGTCTAGCAAGTGAAAAAAGGTGTGTATGTGTGTCTCATTCTAAGTAGTACCTGTGTTACTTGTATTTTTAAAGCACAGCCAAACATTACTCATATTTACCAAAACATACACTGTAAAATGGGATTAATTTTCTAAACCATATGAGTGTTTTTAAATAGGTGCAGTACACACCACCTAGCCAGAACTCTCAACTCCCTCTTGTTCTGTGTCAAGAAGTATGGCTTCACCTGACTAGTTAACAGTTTTCTTCCCAAGGACAACTAAAAGGTGTCCTGTGTTTGATTCCATTGGTGTTTATGTTGCATAGGTGAGGTCAGAATCAAATCTATAGAGAAGACTTATGAGCAGAGAAGTATCTGTTTAAATTTATAGCTTCCCATTCTTCAAACTGCAACATGCCTGGTGGATTCAATAGGTTGAGAGCAAACATGTGCCTGCTGCATAATAATATGAGGCATTTCCATTGATTCAAAGTTGAAATTTGGAGTGAAATAGTAATACAGACACTTTCTCAGAGTATGGTGGCTAGAATATGGGTTTTTAATCTTTCAGACAATGACAATAGCTTGCAGTGGGAAAAGTCGCTAAAAATCAGTAGTTTGACTCAAAGAAACAGGAGTGTCTGGAGTACTGAGGGACTATATAATTCTTCTATAATTTCTTTCCAGTATCAAGCTGGTTTACAAGGATAGATATGAGCACGCACTCTTTTTTTTGCACATAGAAATAAACCTGATTTTCTTTTTCCTAGCTTTCTTTTCTCTTTATCTTAAAAATATCACCACTATCAATAGGTTTTTTTCTCTGCCTGTATATAGAGTACTCATTGAAAGTCTATTCTACAGCAGTTTCCTAATACCTTAACTTAAAGTCTGAATATACAGCAAGAACAAGTTCTGATGTGGTTTTGCTATGCTCTAAGTAGATCTTTTCAAGTTCTAAAAATCCAAATGAAAATGAGAAATGTCTCTGCTATTTTCCCCATCAATTTAATGAATAAAATTACATTGAAAATGCATTCTTTCCAAACTGAATTGAGCAGGAATTGGGCTAGAAATAGCACAGTCTTTAAGTCTAGCATATCACAGAAAATAAAAAGGAAGTATGTACACTATAATTTTCTTTTTAGGCCATCTTTTAAAGTCGTTGAGCTAAATTTTGCCCCTCCTCCATACTTGCTGAAAGTTTAGTGGCTTTAGATAATGATCAATGAGAATTTAGGCCATTTTTGTGTATTTTCTTGTTAGTCTGAATTCAAGCTATTATGGAAGCTTTAATGAAAGAACATGTCTATAATTCTGTGTAACTACTGTATTCAGCTGGCAGTGGTACATTAGAGAAAGCATGAAGGAGAGTTTGTCATGCAGCATCTGACAATCTCGAAGCTTGTCTTTCTTAACAAACCCCTTCTGTCTGTATATTTTGATCTCGCAGACAATGGCCTTCAGACACAAAAACACAAGCCGAATTGAAGGCCTTGACAGCAATGTGTGGTAAGTAAAAGGAAAATATCTGCAAATTCCAGAAAATGTCTTTGGCTGATGCATTTTCTTTCCAAATTGATAATTACTTGCCAATAATAAGGTACATGGCAGTTGCTCTCTCTGCTGGAATACATCTAGCACCGATTTAGAAGCAGGGAATGAAATTCAGTTAAAGGTGTGGATTGTTACTTTTGAGCTTTAAATATTAGTCTTGGGCTTCTCTTTATCTAGTAAACCACATAAGACAAGTATAACTCCTAGGCATGGTAGTGTAGTAGACTTTCAAATTCAAATGTTAATTCTGTTGAGTAATGTATTTCAATTACACTCGATTTGTGTTTACCAAATAAATCAGATTTCTTTTTGAAGCCATTATACTTGTCTTTGTAATTCAGCTAATTTTTAATACATGTTTTTCTAGGTATTTAATTGGTCTTGAAGCAATATTGCCATCACTGAGAAATATGGAAATTTTTTAGTTGGTAAAAACATTATTTTGGGCTTACAAGAAGAGCATGAATATATGTGTGTGTGTATACACAAAGTGTTTTGATCATTCAAGCTAATTTTTTGCAATTTGTATTCATTTTTGACAGAACTGTGATGCCGTGTGCAGGAAGGCTGGTTTGGTTTGGTTTGGTTTAAATCTTGTTCACATTTGGGTAGGGAGGAAAGGCTAAAATATAAAGCTGACCTGTAAAGGCAGGAAGGAAAAATTGTTCAAGAATCCTAATGTTCATATGTGGAAGGCTGCTAGGAACAGTTAATAAGTAGCCTGAAACAGTCTTGTTGCCTAAAATAAAAAAATAATATTATTATAGCATTCTAAGGTGACTGGGTAGTTTAAATTACACCTTTGCTTGATAGAATTTAGCCTTTTAATCATTTAATATGCCTGATGTTCCATTTCTGTCCATGTCCAGAGTTACTGTGTCTTTGTGCATGTGCACATCTGAGCACGGTTCTGCTGGCAGAAACATTATTCAGTGGATACAAAAAGTCATCCTTTTCTTGGGTACCCTCTGACTCATGTGGTTATTCACCATTGTCCTAGCCCTCAGCTCTCCATATGAACACTCTACTGCCTTATTTCCACTGCTGGGAATTTGCCAAAGTGAAATACTTTTTTTCCCCTCCTTTTAATGCTAATGAATGAAAAGATAATTATATCTGGTATGTTAACTTCAAGATGTTTTTCCCTTTAGGGTTGAATTTACAAAAGTGGCAGCAGATCCCTCAATTGTTAATCTTGGTCAAGGCCTTCCAGATATATCCCCTCCCAGCTATGTTAAAGAAGAGTTGGCAAAGGTAGCAGCAGTTGACAAACTGAACCAGTACACACGAGGCTTTGTAAGTATTGTGGAGCTTGAGTACCCAAGTTCAGTAGAAAATGTGCCACAGGGAAAAAATTTTACTTGCTTTAAGCTGGTTTTATCTGTAGGTCCCAAATTAAGTTAATCCAGTAGCCCTATCTGTTACAACTGAACATCCTCTGTGTAGGCTTCTTCAAAACAGAATCCTTCAGCAAGAGCAAAATGGTAGAGCAAATCTGGGATAGATGAGCTCTGTCTCTGAAGAGTCAATTCCCAGTTTAATGAGTGTAGATTATACATTTACCCCTGATTTTGGTCAGTGTAAACATGAATCACACAGTATAATGGTAGAATGAGAAAGAAATACTTGATTCCACTTGAGACAATGCCTCTAGGATCAAGAAGGATTCACCTGCAGTACTTAGTAGATTTCAGTGGAGATTAGGACGGGATGAAAACACTAGGTTTTTGCCCCTGGAAGACAGTCACTACCCATTCTTTAAGTTGGCTTGTAAAGTTCATGTCTTGATACCTGAAAAGTTTTTGTTCACCAGGCAGACAAGGTTTTGCAGGAGCCTTGGCAGAGGGGAAAAGGTTACAGAGAGCATGGGCTGCAGCTGTCCAGCTGCTGTACTGTAACACACTGTACCAGCTACTAAGAAGAGAATTAACTCTATCACAGCTGAAACCAGGACATGTTTACCTTCTGACAAATATTCACAGATCCATTTTCTAAAACTAGTTGCAAATCAAGCATAAACATAATTTTCCTAATGCATGCAGTTGTTCAGTATTTACTTTTGCCACTTTGTTCTTTATATCAAATGGTTTGATAATGCCCATCATAATTATGAATGTTGGCAGATACATTTTACTGTAGATAGTGATTACAGAGGAATTTTTACCTTTGCACTTCCTTCATGAACTTCTGCACTTCTCATGTTTGGAGCACAAGTATTTGTGGTAGCACACATGGGAGGGATGAGTATGAATGACACCTATCCATGTGAGATCTGAGCCATTGTCTCAGCCATGGTCAGAGCTCTCACTGCCTATAGGGCCCATAGGGTGGCCTAATGCGACTTGGGTGCTGCAGCATTCCTGTGTTGCTGACACACTCGTGGCAAGAAATGACTCTCATTTGAATCAGCAGTGATTTGTAAGCCTTCATTTATGGTAATGTCTTTGTTTACAGAAGGGTTCATGATTATTGATGCCTTGTGTGTAGAGGTATTTCAGAGGATTTTTGTTGCATTTTCTCAATGTTTTCTGTTTTTACCAAGCATCCAAGGAGAAAAATGATTCTTACAGCAGGGATCCTCCAGTTTTCCTGAGTAAATAGAATTCTGCCTTCTTATTTCCCTGTTGTGTATGATCTTTGTTGCATGTTTGTTTTCTTGTTCTTTGCACATTTTGAGAAGAGTATGTTAACTGCCACGTTCCTGGAGGGGACATTCACAAATGGTGAATGGTGCTCTGAGATTTGGGATGTGATGATATGAATCATTATTCTGGTCACAAATGCTGTTTACCAGCAGTATATAAACAGAATAAAAAGATTTCCCTTGCACCAAATACTTCTTAGTTGAAAGATAGGGAAGGAAATGGAAGGAGCTGAAAGATACACAAAAGGAGATGAGGGTGAATTGGAGTCAGAATATTCCCTTCTCTCCTCCAGTCTTTTGTCCTAGCTCTGCTATAGGCTACTTGGAGCTACCTTGAGATGTGATAATAATAAAAAAATTAAAAAGCATCAGATAACACAAAAAAAATAAATCCTAGTAGACGCAAATGAATTGAAACCACTTTTCTTCCCTAATGTGCAAAGAATTTAAACTGTGCTACCTGTTAATAGCCACCCTGAGGGCTCATCTCAAAGTTTGCTACTTCAAAATGTATTATTTTGATATATGTGGAAAAAAGGCTTTGTAATTGTCAGGAACACACCATTCAGTTGCATTTGTTTGCTTTGAACAGGGACATCCATCACTGGTGAAGGCCTTGTCTCAGGTGTATGAGAGAGTTTGTGGAAGAAAGATTGATCCTCTCACAGATATCCTGGTGACCGTGGGAGCTTATGGATCTCTCTTTAGTACAATACAGGCATTAATTGAAGAGGGAGATGAAGTAAGTTTTTATTGGAAACATTCGCAGATACAGAAATGAGAATCTTCTTGGGTTTTTATTTGTCCACTTTTAAATATAAATTCATGTTGGGGCATCGTTCTGATGTCTGTTACTTTGATTTGTTACAGTCATACATGTGACTCACAGTTTCAGAAGCTGTGATTAGGAGACAATCCTTTGGATGTTTTCCTGTCATTCACCAACTTAAAAACACCTTACTTTGATACTTATGGTCCCTGTAGCAGTTTCTTTATCACTGTTACTGTTAGGTGACACAATACACACCGATTTTTTATTTGAGCAAACGTGTGAGCTGTTGTCTGCAACAGACGACTGAGGGTGGTGCAAAGACTTGTTGGTGTTTGCACAACTGTTGTGTATTGAGTTCTGTTTTGGACCATTTCATGGTAGCAGCACAGGTAGTGGAAAAGGCCTTTAAAGAAAGGATTGTTGGTTTGCTGTACTAGCTGTGATGACTCACCCCCCATCACTGCTGGTGTCTATCTTTTTGACAATGTTATTAAAAGTCATTATATGGGAATATTTCTATCCCTGCTGCACAAATGACCTTTTTGTGTCATCATGCATTTGCTTTCAGTGTTTTGTATGTTTCACTTGTATATTGTATTCTCATCTGTATTTTCCTTTTCTGTTGCTCTGAAACTCACTGCTCTCTTTTTTTTGTAACAGTTCTATTACCCTTTGTGTATTCTGTTTGTTATCCTATTATCTAGCCTCTATGCAGTTATTCTTTGATTCGTCCTCCTTTTCTACCTGAAAATTTTCTTCTGATAGAATTTGAGTACTTATACTGTTCTTTTGAGATTTCTAGATGCTTGGAAATCTTGCAATGTCATGGACAGAATTAGGGCAGCTGTGCTGTGATTCAGCAGTTTGCCATTGCTATCTCCCATCTTTGCCTTGTACCTTCAGATCTGTGTGTAGGACTCAAACATTCCTAATATTATAACTTAATAGTGGTAATGTGTAAGTATAGAAGAACACCCTGTGTGTGTTGTCAGAAATGAGTAATGCCTATCATACTTAGCCTGAGGGCATGGTTGTGTGGTGCTCTAAAAGGAGGAATAGTCTGCAATGTTATATCATTATATCTGGAGTGCCAGAAGCATTATCAAGTTATACCACCAAAGTCTGGAAATATGATGGTATCATGCACAGTAAATTCTCTGTTTCTGATACTGATCATTGTCTTTTCAGGTGATAATAATAGAGCCATTTTATGACTGTTATGAGCCAATGGTAAAGATGGCAGGTGCAAAGCCTGTTTTTATCCCGCTGAGATGTGTGAGTAGCTTTTAAAAATTATTTATCATATCTAGTTTCTCATCCATACTCAATACAGTTTGATGAACACCTTCTATGTGATGCTTTTCTGTATAGTTTTTCATAATATCCAATTATATAAAAATGAGATAGATTGCTATAGTCTAAGTCTGAGACAATGATAATCCAAAGCAGAGAGAATATTTTATTAGTGTTGGAGAAGGTGCAACAATGTTTCTCATTTGTTTTAATTTGTGCATTCTGAAAGCTGATTAAAATTGCTTTTTCTCAGTTTTCAGTGCAAATAATGGAAGAGGAATCACATATCAGTGCAATTTCTGCATCTGTTGGTTTTCAAAAGATTTGATTTCTGATCCCTTCAGCAGCTCCTACAGAACACAGTTTCTTCTCCAAAATCTGCTTACTAAATAAGGACTGATCACGCAGTAGACATTTGCTATACATACTGCTTCCTTTATTGCTAAAAAGGACTCATTTTGCTGTGGGTTAATTGTCAAATTGATACTGCTGGCATAACTCTGGCAGCTTGCAAGGATTCTTCTGGATGCAAAGTGTTGATCCTGTTAGCATTGCCTTGTGTGACTGGCAGCCTTGCATGGGGAGCCCGAGGGGCTCTTTAGGCAGGACTGTTACCATGAAGTCGGAATAACAGAGTGCCAAAATCTCCAGGGCTGCAGTGGGAGTAAGTCAGACTGTTCTTCTGGATGCCTCCTAGGGATGTTTCAAATGACAGAGTTCCTCCAAGTATTTTCTGTTTCACACCCTTTTTATTCAGTCTTTCGCTCTCCCAGTCATGTGCATTTGTCAGAAAGTTAGTGTGGCCATGCTCTGTGTTCTCCATACCAACTGGCCCAAACTTCTGTTATTCATGTGTAATACCACAGGGACACTTGTATTGTGTAGTATATGACTCCAGAGCCTCAGTGGTGCAGATTTTTAACACTTTGGCCATTTTCATATGTTCCAGGAGGAGGAAAAGACCTTGACCCTGTCCAGTGGTGAGCAGATTTTTCAGCTAAGTATGCACCCACTTGCTCTACTGTCTGGCAAGGTCTTAAACTCTCCTGCCATGTGACTGGGCTTCCTGCATTACACACTGTTATATTCAGCATGTGTGCAACAAGGTCCTGAAACCAATTCCTGCAGAGGCTTTAAAACACACAGTGGCCAGAAGAAGACAGCCACTGTCATAATAATTTACCTTGCTCTTAGCCTCCCTGCCTGTTCCTATAAGTGCCTTCTCCCAGGAGAGCAGGACAAATTGGATAGGTTGTCAAGCATGGTTATGCAAGTGTCTGAGAGTGATGAGCTGGGCATCTCTCTTTAGGCTGTAACATGTTGTATTCAAGTAATGCATACATTTATTGCTGGGGTTTTTTTGTTTGTTTGTTTTTA